TCCTGCTCACATTGCATAATAGAGGAGTTTCAGAAAGCCTGCATACTCAGAGTACGTCAATCAACACTACAGAGGCTTTTCTGTTCAGGTAGGCAATTAAAAGGGATTAAGTTTCTGGTTTAGTTTTCATGAAAGACACCATGCAAAAATCTATGGTTACTGCGTTGATAGAGTGATTTTAAAAATAGCTGAGTGTTTTATACAAAATAGAATACATTTGGCTACCTCATGTCCAAGAGCCAACTATAGAATTCCTACTGACTACAAAGGGCACTAGATTAGATCCTCTCTGAAAACATTTTCATAGTCATATACGCTACTTCACTTAATGTGGTTTAGTCTTTTCCTTCTGCTTTTATACGTGTAACTCACAGATATTTTATGCATTTTAGAGGTTCATAATAAGGAGGTGGTAGAGACACCTCCTATGCATCCATTGTTATGTTTTATTTCTTGAAAATTTATTGAAACTGTTCTTCATAAAAGGAGATTCCACTACAAAGACCATTGCCAAGATGGTCAATGGATTTATTTTAAAGAATGCAGACTAAAAGGCCATAAAGGCTCGGCAGTTTATCTCACTTCTTGTACATTACAGTCTCATAGATTTCACCCTTTTACCCAAATATTGAGGTCAGTAAATTGCACGTCACCACATGGCTTCTAAAAGGCATCTTGTCTCATTTGCAAACATGAATAAATAGACAGTCCACCATTTTCCTAGGTAGTTCTTCTCTGGTGTTCCCATAAGAGTTTAAAGAAACCTGGTTCCACTCTTCATCTTTCTCGACTTTCACCAGTTTGGCTACTCTCACCTTCAACTACCTGTTGTTCTGCGATAGAATAGTATCCATTTAACCAGATTAAGTTTCCTGATGCACAATCAATAAAGTGTTTTTGACATCCCAGACTGAAGAAAGAAAACTGCAGGAGGGAATGAAGCAGGGCTGTTGACAGCAGGCAGTGTCAGTGCCAACCCACGCTCACAAGTGTTGACTATACAAACTAAAGGCAACAAACATATCAGATCTCTCAATGAAATCGAATATTCTATATCAAATTTGAAAATGTGTTTTATAAGAATTCCCAGTGTTGGCCTAGTGGTACTGACTTCAAGAGAAGGTGGAAATTTAAGCTAACAATGTTTTCCTTCAATAACTCTCAAAAGCATTTGCTCTTTCACAGTTTATCAGATTATGTCTCAGGTTATAAATGTGAATGTATTTTATTGTGGTTCCTATTCTGTACATTTATGTGTTCCTGTCAGCATAGCATTTATGTTATATTTTTTGGATAAAGCGTTTGAACACCATCTGCCAAGAACTGAGTGACCATATCAATATCAATATTTGCCTGCAAGTTTTTCACCTACTGCATTTCATGCAGTATCCTGAGAAGTATGGAATGGTTTCCCAGGAGTACTGATTCCATATAACCAATGGCAGCTTTTGTTTTAAAAGTCACCCATGTGCTCTTCCCAGGGAGGAATCTGATATACTAGTTGTTTCTCTTCATTTAGTACTTTAAAGAAAACACTGCAAACAACATACCTCATGTTAATTTATTTTTATCATAACTGGTAAATGCCAAATACTTCCACTGTTCTGAGACAATTTCACTACTTCTGCTCATTTATGAGTTTACCAGATGGAAGAGAATTTTTTTGGGAGGGTGGAAACAAACAAACCAGAACGTTTTTGGGTAAGCAGACAAATTTTATCTTTGCTTTTTTTTCCAGGTTTTCTGTGCCAAAGAGTTGTTAATATGTTCCTCAGAGGCACAACTTATCGATCACTACCCAGCCCCATAAAACAAACAGTTGATTTGTAGACATGTCTTGAGAAATTGCTCTTTCTTCCTTTTAAAACAATGGATCTCTCTTCTAAAGCCATAGACAGTAGATGTATAAACTCTTTTGAAAACATTACTATAAAATATTGTTGGTTCAGAACTAACAGCTATATACTCCAGTACAATATACTACTGTATACACAGCCATAGTTCAAGTTGAAAGATAATAGCAGTATCAAACAATCTGGCAATTTTAAGCTTCAGCATTAAACAGACAGACCTCCACATGTACAGTCTTAAAACAATATGCCTTTATTCAGCTTTTTCTTTAGAATAAGAGAGGATCTTTTTCACATCCAACCACCTTTTCTATTTTACTTCAAGAATGCAACTCTTCCCTTAAACCTATACTCCCATGAAGGTGGAGCTGGCTTTACTGTGCAATCTGATCACAAAACTTGATAGTTTCTTAGCACAGAATAACATTCAAAAATGAGCGTGCAGGAAAAGAAACAAGCAGCTCACCCCACAGAATCAAGTTCACAGTGGTCAGTGTCAGCTCTTCTAGGCTAACTATACTGGGCTTGCACTTTTAAACTGGAGAACCAATTGCAAGATCTAAGCTGAAAGTACAGAAAATTACTTTCCTTAATATTTTTAGAAAAATAATGTTTTCTGCTTTGCAAGAAGAGAATAATCACCATTGAGGACTGATTATAATAATTCCTGCTTTAAGATGCCTCTCAAGCAATACATTTTTCTAAAAAAATTTTGTTAACACGCTTCATTTCCAAATGAAACATAAATAGAAAAAGAAATAGAAAAATTCAACTAAATCTAAAAGGAAGAGACAGGTTTTGGCTAAACAAACTTGAAATCTAAGCGAGAAAGAGGCAAGGGAACTTCATGTTTCCTGTTCAGAAGCAGAATTCTGAGCCCAGTCACAAAGCCTAATGCAGAGTCGGGAAATATAAACTAAATCTCTTGAGTCCCAGTTTTGTGCCTTGGCCACAAAAGTACTTTTCCTTTCCTGGAGAGACTGTCAGGCTGCAAATATTTAGCATTAGGAAGTAGTAGACATCAAAATTAGTCTGCATTGGAGAGTAGAAATTAAAGTCTTTTAGAAACAAATACTGCTTTATCAGGAAAATGTACTGAATAATTTACTAAGCTTCTTCCATCTCTACTCTTCAGACCAACGATTTATGGGCTGTAGTTTTTTTGGGGTTTTTTGTCTAAAACAACTCTGTATAAGAACAAGAAGGCAATATTAATTCTTGCAGTTCTTTTCACCTGTAGCTCCTCCTCCATGAATTAGCATATCCCATGGAGTCCCCCTAAACCTACACCTATACTGCTTTGAGACCAGTAAATTGGTTTCTGGATATTGCTCCTTACTCCAAACAAAAGCAAAATCAGGTACCTCAAATTTGCAGCACAAAGGGATCACAGTGAAAACTTTCTTGGAGACCTACAGCAACATGAATTTGCACATATAAACACACACAATCGAAAATGAGACCAAATCATGTTTTCTATTTGTTTGTATTTATGCAGTCAATTCTATAACAGCAATTAAAGTATAAAACAATGCTCAAGAGAGCAATAGTAAACTCAAGGCTCTCACCTATAAGAACTATTAGTCTCTACCAGCAACTCTACTAATCTCATACAGACACACAGTGCTGGAGTACAACCAGGAGCTGTGCTGTCTGGCACCACAGGCTGCTCTTGGCCTTTTTTGCTACCCTTAGGAAGCCCCTGGTATAGGCAGAGTGTCATTGCTGCCACAGCAGAGTGCTGCCAGAAAATAACACTGCCAGCCATCCTGGGAGAGAGAGAAAAAAGGCACCTGAAGGCACAAGGGAGGGGGAATCCTGGCTGAATGCAATGCACAGGGTAAATCAGGCTTTGATTCCAATCAGCTCAGACTTCCATATTGTGACTAAGGCTTAAAACAAATGCAGTTACACAGAGGAGAACTGGGCCTTACACTGCCTCTGCTAACCAGGACAGAGGAGCAGAGCCACAGACTGGGTTTGGGGGTTTCGTGGGTGTTGGGTTTTTTGGGTTATTTTTTGTAGTTTTGGTTTTGGGTTATATCTGAATTTTCACACGTGCTTTAGAATAATAGTAATCAGAGCAAATGGAATAGTGCTGGAGACAGCTTCCTTCCTCCAGGCTTGTTCATCATTGCTTTAACAGCTACAGCATCCCTAGTAATTCCCATTTGTGATAAATCTCCAGTGTTTACAAGGGAACTACTCCAAGGACCATTAGAGACCTGAGCTGGTGTCAAGTCTCCCAGCTGTGCTGTCACTTAGCTACTGTCTGCCTGCGTAGTCCAGCAAAATGACAGAGTGTGCCAGCAACCCCAACTGCCTTTCTATCACAGGGAATATTCCAGGCTAAGTGAAAATTCAGAAAATTAGAAGATCAATTATTTACAATCTCAGAAACACGGAATGGCACTGAAAGTCTGCAGAAACTTTCTCAAAAGTCTGCTATTTTCATGAACCATCTTGTTTCTCTGAGTTTGGGTTTCCCACCATAGTTCTCCTGCTTGGAAGCTACAGATCTCTGCAATAGCAATTGACTCACCTTCCTCACTTGCTGGAAAGCTTTGTAGTCATACAAATATCCCTTGACTCTCTCTCTTTAGAAAATATTCCTTTTCTTTATCTATGCTAAAAAAAGGTTTCTGAAATTTATTCTGCTTCTGAAACAGGCTG